CTTAAAAGCCTGAATTTAGCCTGAAACTCTCAGACTGAAGAAGTCTCTTGGAGGAGAGACGAAACGTTTCATTAGATAAGAACCCGTCCAGAGGACCTATACTATTTTTTTCCTTTTGATTTTTTTACCTGGATTACTGAGATGCATCAGGACACGCTGAGAAGGTTTGTTTTTGTTCTGGTTCTGATAAGACCCATGCCTCAAACTCTCAGGCCCGTCCTGGCTGTAAGCTGGGTTGGAGTTACAATTTTTGAATAAATTTTTTTCAAAGAGAACCAATGACTTCCATTTCTGATTGAGTTTTTCTTACAGGCTGTCAACTGAAAAATAGTATTATTTTGTACATTTGTCCCACTGCTTAGAAACCAGTGTCTGCAGATGAACAAACATGCAGTGAGCTTTTCATGGACTAAAAATCAGACTTTAGACTTTCTCCAAAGGTAAAATGATTAAAAGSTTGCAGAAGTAGAYCAATGACCCACCTGTAGAGAGAATCTGTATGGTCTTGGTCCAACTTATTGCCAGTGTCTTCTGATGTATAACCAGTCTCATTTTGAGACTGGACCATGGTGTGACCAGCAGGAATGGACTCATCGTCCTTCTGTTCCCTCTTCATGTGAGAAGACAGTTTCTGGACACTGTGAGCCTTGGATGAGCTGCTGCAGGAAACAGGAGAAGAAGGTCTCTGCAGTCATTAGGTAAGAGTTTCTTGTTTTGTGGGAGAAGTTTGTCCAAGACACGGCTGGTCTGTTTGACATTTGCAGGTGTAGTTTGTTAAAGATGTAATTGATTGGATTGACTATTTTGGGTGGGGTTTGAAGAAGCTGGGGGCATCTGGGAGTAGCTTGGTTGAAACGTCCAGGAAACCCCTATAGTTTTTAAAATATAAATATAAATTTTAGTCATAACTCGAGACAGGAAGTTGCTTGTTGCACAATATTTGAATGTTGTCCATGTGGATGTCCAACAATTCAGCTCAGTCAAATCAGCCCTAACCCACCTGTGAAAAGATGGCTATATATGAATATAAGTAAGCAAACTTAATTTCTATAACACCTTTCACAGGATGAGCATCAGAAAGTGCTTAACAGAGAGCAAATAACTAAAAACAATAAAACAGTGCACAAATATAATGAACAATTAAAAACAGAAAGGAAAACTTAAAAGGTTTCTAAAAATGTCTTAAGATGACTTCATATTAATCATAACTTGTGAGAAGGTGCTTGCTGCATGAAGTTTGACGTCATTAAAATAAAAAAAATATGTTTTTATGTTCACAATATTTTTCATTTGAGTCACAGCTTTGTTTTAAACTGTACATAGTCATTAAACTAAATTTACATGTTCACAATAATGTTATTGTTACCATTACTTCCCTTTTTAATTTTCCCACAAGACAAGTCAGTCCAACCAATCACGGTTTTGCCAAGCTCCATCTATTATCCAAACTCTGACAATAACGTTTAGGACAAACTCCGCCCACACAAAGAACTCCACCAATCACAGTTAGGACAAACTCCGCCCACACGAAGAACTCCACCAATCACAGGAAAAACTCCGCCTTTATAACAAGAAACTCCCCCTACTGTATGTACTGCTGAGACCCCTGCTTAGTAAACAGTGGCTCTGTGTCATGGCTCATAGTAGTCTCTGTACAGAAACTAAGAAAAAACAAGCATTTTAAAAATATTTATTTTATAAAAATTACTTTGTTTACAAATTGTGGTGGAAGAATATCATATGACGTCCCTAACWGTATATTTCCTCGACATGTTCCTGTTCTGTATCTTTGATAACTGCCCGGTGCATGTTCTGTTCTGATGACTCATCGATGCTGACTGTACATCTGCAGTCTCACATCACCCATATAACTTGTAATTACTCCTTTGGTCTCTGAATATTTCTGACGCTCTCATTTTCTCGACCCGGATGTATAAATTGACTGTTTCCTGTCTATTTGTAGTCAGTGGCTCCGGGGAGGAACCGCTGATCGGACCTCGGCGGGGCTGCTCAGACCCTTCTGCATATGCAACTAATAAATCATCTGAGACCAGACCACTCAAGTTCACCTTCTTTATTTCTGCCCTGATGGAATATTTTCCATTACACAAATAATTCCCCAATTAGAAATATATTGATTTGTCTAGTTTCTTCAAAAACATTGTTCTCTTTTATATTTGCTTCAGCATACTTTGTTTTTCATTGTTTTTGTCTTCCTATGCAGTCAGTATCAGTRATATTTTTAGACCAAGCAGAGGGAAAAATGATGAAATCACCCTGTAAATTTTCATTCCATAAACTAACACTGCATCAGATTAGATCTGCTTCTAAAAAGACTGATCACACCTTGGAGAGCTGTTGTACCAAGTGGACTGACATGAGTCATGGCTCCAACACCAGAGATGTCAACTGACACAAAGGAGAGGATTATCAAACTCTTAAAAAGGGTAAATCATCATGTTGGTTGTTCACAGTCAGCTGTGTCTAAAATCTGGACCAACAAACAACAAGGGAAGGTTGTTAAAGACAAACGTACTGGTAGACCAAGGAAGACATCAAAACATCAAGACAGAAAACTTAAAGCAAGATGTCTCCAAAACAGAAAATGCAACAAAACAAATGAGGAATGAATGGAGGAAACTGGAGTCAACATCTGTGACCGAATGGTAAGAAATGGCTTAAAGGAAATGAGATTTACATTTGGAAAAGTTAAAAGAAAACCATCATTGACATCTAAACAAAGAACAAGACATCAATGGGCTAAGGAGAGGCAATCATGGACTGTGGATGACTGGATGAAAGTTATCTTCAGTGATGAGTCAAGAATCTGCATTGGACAAGGTGATGATGCTGAACTTTAGTTTGGTGCCGTTCCAGTGAGATTTATGAAGAGGACTGCCTGAAGAAAACAACACATTTCCACAGTCCTTGATGATATGGGGCTGCATGTCAGGCAAAGGCACTGGGGAGATGACTGTGGTTCATTCTTCTATCAATGCACAAGTTTACATTGACATGTTGGACAGTTTTCTCATCCCTTCAYTTGAACAGATGTTTGGAGGTGATGAAATCATTTTACAACATGACAATGCATCGTGCCATAGGGCAAAAACAGTGAAGGCATTCCTTGGAGAAAGACACATTCAGTCCATGTCATGGCCTGCAAATAGTCCAGATCTCAGCCCAATTGAAAACCTGTGGTGGAAATTGAAAAAAATGGTCCATAAGAAGCTCCGACCTGCAAAGCTGATCTGGTAACTGCTATCAAAGAGAGTTGYCACCAAACTGATGAAGAATACTGTTTGTCACTCATCAAGTCCATGCCTCAGAGACTGCAGCTGTTAGAAAAGACAAAGGTGCTGCAACTAAATACTAGTGATGWGTMTTMWATGGTCTTTAGTTTATCTGTTTTTCATGATTCCATACTTTTTTCCTCAGAATTGAGTGATTCCATATTTTTTCCCTCTTTTTGGGCAAAAAAAGATAACTATTACTTACTGCCACAAATTTATTTTCTTGATTTCTTTTAGTGTTTCTTAAAACCAGAAAGTTGACATTTGAAATGACTTTAGTTTTATGTGTCGTGARCTGATTTTTTTCTACAAAGTTAAACAACAGAATGAACATCCTCCATTTTTGCCAGGTGTGGTAWAAATGTCCTGTGTCTTCCTCATGGACCCTGGAGCACTCTTCGATGCTGTTGGATGGTCTCACCTGTTGCTTTTATAACAGCCCTCACTGTGGACAGGTTTGTAGGCGTAGGAYACCACACTGTTCTCCGCCCTCAGGTCAGGCACCGCCCTCTCAGATACAACAACAGTTGGGGCCTGCTGGGTGCTGCGCTCCTCTCCAACATGGTTCACCTACAACAAGATCAATAAAATCAAATTCCAAACTGAAAGAGAGATYATATTTTGCTTGTGTGTGTGTGTTTAAGTTTGTGTGTGTACTGTATGTGTGTTTCTTAAGAAAATATCAAATTAACCACTGAATGGGATTTAATGACATTCTCTGAAGTTTTTGCATTGCAGGGCCTGCCTCGACCCACCCTGGCTGCAGACAGCCCAGCCTTGCTCTACTCTGGCCCAGTTTGTGTTTGCATTGAGCAGCTAGCTGCCATAATGTGGGTGGGATCATAATATTAAACACCCACCATGATATTCTGTTTTATTTTTGACAAAACAATAATAAACTACACCAAACTTGAAGAAAAAATGCAGAAAATTTAATGTGACCATCCAGCAATTTGACGTTTAAGACAAGAGGGCAGGACAACAGAGGTAAGCTAATGCTAGCTTTTTGTTAGCCTGTTACTGTTGGTAGCATGCTACTGTTGTTGTGTTGTGCTTATAGTGTTTATTTTGGTATTTTTGGTTCGGTAGTAGCTGAGCATCTTAAAGTTATGCTTTGAACACAACATATTGTGCAACATATTTGTTTAAAACTGGTAATAACATTGTCTAATTTGTATTTCTGTTAGGAAATGCAGCTTTTAAAAAATGCAGAGATTTTACTGAATAAATCACATAAAAACATCAAAACATTAATTAAAGATGCTGCCAGTGGCTCATTAGGGTCACCATAATAATTACACACCAGTGTCAGCCACTGCCCTGTTGAGTGTAAGGAGTGAACCCAAAACACAGAAACAAAGACATAAAATAAAGAAATAACAATAAGGCAGCTGAATATCTAAAGAGTCATAAAAAGGCAAACATCTCCTAAATTTTGTCAGGAGACAATTATTGGCTCGTTAGCTGGTTTCCCTAATGATGCACACAAAGTTGTGCACAGATCCGATCATGTATGTGGGATTTATAGCCAACCATAAGCAAAGTGGGTGGAGCTAAAGTGATCTTGTCAGACTACTCCACACACYTCTTGAGCAGGTCTCCCTGATGATGCACACAGAATTTGGTGCAGATCGGATCATGTATGTGTGATTTAGAGCTAACCATGTGGTAAGTCTGCATGTTCAAAGCTGTAGGGGGYTTAGCTCAYATATATGTGCAAAAAAAAGAGACAAACTGGTGGCTTTTATCCAAAATGACCCAATTCCTGTGATATTTGGACCATGACTCCCAAAGACTTGTTTGTAGGTTCTGAGATGTTACACATGTACTAAATGTCATGATTSTAGGTCAAYGCATGGCTTAGATAACTGTAGGTGATGCTGTGGAGGAATTAGGCCATGRCGTATGGCCACATGTGTTGACAGGCATGCAACATGGATGACTCTCACCATGTTTGGTATATTTTAACTTTTCTATGTGAAAGTTACAGCTTTCTGAAAATGTAACGGATGGATGGAGAACATTTCAGAGTCCCCCGCCTTGGCAAAAGGGGGCAAAAAATAACAAAATGGCTAWAACACAGTCACAATTTTTAAATAGTCTACTGATTTGTGAGTGACTGACACGATCAGAACACACATTTTGAACCTGAAATACCATCATTTTGCATGAGACACACAACTTTATTTACCAGTATTATTCTTTACAAATCTGTCATTTATAAGATGATCTTTTTATAAAACCAGTTAACATTCAGCAGAACGCCTGTGTGCCATTTTTGTTTCGTTTTATTGTGTAATGTCGTTTCTGTGTTTCTGTTCGTCATGTGTCTGTGTTCAATGCATCAAACTTGACGTTTAGGTCCTCCTCTTTCGAATGACACCTCATTTTACCAACTGGTTCAAGTATCGGACAAATAAGCATCAAATGTGAGTGAAAAACAAATATCTTTTCACTGCTGGTGGTTTTATAAGCTGTGTGGAATGTTAATGAT